GGGAGCGCTGCCGCACTTCCCAAGCAGTGCACTGTAGCAGTGCGCCACCAGGCCGGCCCAATGTGTATAGTCTTCTTTCATAATTCAGCATATATCTTTATCCATAGTCATAGGCCTTTCTCATTCCAAATGTTTACTTGTCTTTTCTTTTTTCACTGGTAAGAATTGCTAAAGGTTTTTTTTTTTTTAATTGGTCCTTTCAAAGAATCAGCTTTTGATTTTTAGATATCAACTGCTTTCTCCCTCCACCCATTTTTGTAATTTCTATTTTGATGATTTCTTTTTTTTTTTCTAGCTAATTTCTGAAAGTTAAGCATTTAAAGAGGTCTGTTCAGGTTTCTCACAATGACAATGGGATGTGCCCGTTTCTACTGCTTTTAATAATCAATTTTTTATAGAGGCTGGCCAGTTAGCTTGGTTGGAGCACAGCCTTTTAACACCAAGGTCAAGGGTTTGGATCTCCACACTGGCCAGCCGCCAAAAAAAAAAAAAAAAACAATTTTTTATACATACACATTTTTCAGGAAGATTCTTAGGTGCTTATGGTTCATGACTTTGGCATTTCTTGATGCTTGTACCTTTCCCCATAAATACCCTGTCTTTGTCCTGTCTAATGATTTGGCTTTAAGTTCTGCTTTGTGTATGCACTTCTGGTTAGCATGTGGCTGGCATGCTCTTTTCCTCCTTCCATTTTTCATCCTTTTTGTTTCATTTTGCTTTACGTGTGTCTGTCTTTTGGAAGTAGTAGACAAGTGTGGATTTTGTATTAAGGATCTGCTTTTAGTTGGTGAATTTAACCCATTTGCATTTACTCTGATTAGTCGTAGTGAGATTTATTTCTGCCATCTTATTTTATATCTACTTTTTATTATACTTGCTTATTTTTGTTAAGTTTGCTTTTGCCTTTTTCTGGATTGGTCCCATTTACTTGGTTCTGTTTTTCTTTTCTCTGTTGACTAGGAAGTTCTAGGTTTTATTTCTGCTCTTCTCATGGTTACGCTACGTACATACGTGTATGTGTACTTATATTTTTCTATCAGCATCTGCATGTA